ACTACCAAAGTGCACACTTCAATTTTTACACTGTACATATCGTTCTCTCTTAAAACTTTTGTGATTATTTTTCCTTGGAACTCAGGTTTTTTAACTTAACCTCTCAATTCGCTCCTTATTGGCTAAGCAGACACCCAACACAAATGAAGTCAAAGTGCAGTCTAAATGGATGAGTTCGTTTTAGGTTTCTTTCCTATGTCCAAGGGAGACTGACAGTGTCCAAGGGGCGCTCTAATAAACCTATTCTATACGCCCCTTGCTCTTATATATGGCCGTGATGTGCGTCTTTCAATGGATGTCTCCCTTCTCCTCCATTTTCCGTCGCAGGGTCATCCTGACAAATCTGTACGATATCTCAGAGCAATCCTCCATTGTGCGCACGGGTTTGCTCACATTTGTCTCTCTGCGGCCTATCAGCGACAAAATCTACTGTGATCGCCGTGCGCATGGTGCACCTCATCCACCTTGCGATAAGGTACCCTAGTATCAGAAAAGTTTGTCACATGAGTCATCCGACAAGAGGATTCACTGGATATTACCTTTCATTGTCGTAGAAATCCCTTCTGAGGCTCTTTATATCCTCCGGACCTCTGATGATCCCGACGATCCTACCATTGCGGCACACTTTAACAAGCTCAAACCCCACCCCTTGGATGACACCTCTGGCTGTCATATCTCTACGGTCTTCGAGTTATCCCTTTCATTTCCCGCCGTTTGACAACTCGTATCCGAACCGCTCTCCGGGTGTTAGCATTCATTCTTCGTGGGTTTTGTTTCCGCTCCCAGCTTTCTCGCACTGCGAAAGTCTCCCGGGAAGGTGGTTTCGGCAGTCCGGCCGACCTTTCTGTCTCTGAAGCTCGTACCGATGAGACGTCGGTTATACAAGAAGAAGCAGTTTAATCAAAATCCATGATTACCTATTCCCTTACCTTAGTTATTTTTTGTCCGACATAAACTTGTAGAAACGGAAGAACCCATCCCGTGTAGCGGCTAAACGATGATGGTGTATGCTCAGTGCGCCACAATGTCAGGCCATATCCCCATTTTTAAGAAGCGGGACGCCAGTCGGGCAGAAAATTTTATCTATTCTGTACAGAATAGTGAAGAGAAGTTTGCAGTCGGACGAGGATGCGTCCGGCGCTGCGGAGGCGGCGTCCGCGAGAGCGACAAGTCGTGTGTCGCCGAAGGTCGCCGCTGCAAATGTCGTGACAGATTGTTTACGCCAGTGGTCTGGCTGTGCCAGATTGTGTTACCAATCAGCGAAAGCAGCTGCGTTGATTGGATCCGATCCCACGCGAGGGTAATGACACGCCTCGCATGGTGCAGGCAGGGAATCGACCAGATGCGTGGTGCAGACGGTGAATTGCAACGAGACAAATAAAGTCCGCGCAGACCTGCGTGCCATAGCAGGCTGCCGCTAGGGCGTAAGTGCAGGAGCTAGAGGGAGGCGTGACGTTAACTTTATTGCTGCCCATACCCGGACGAGGCCACGGAGGACAACGCTTGATTGGACAACGGGTACATCCGGTTTTCCTCGTAGCGTTCACCGTTGGATTTTCCTAACTGCTCGCTTGTGTTGTCATCTTCTCTTCCTGAGCACTTGTGCGTCTCGCTACCCTCCCCCCCTTCCGTCCCCAAACGAGCCTCTATTATCACAAGACCTTCTTATCTGGTTCAGTGCGTTCGTCCACTTGTTTGCTTCGTGTGTCGCCCAGAAGGCTCATCGTAGTAGTCTGGACTAGCAGCTGAAACAGATGATTATGTTTTAAGAGCCAAAATCTTTCAGTAATAAATCGCCATTAAAGATAACATAAAAACATGGAATCAGGTGTGATAGAATTCCTATTAATTGGGCATTTCAGGAATACTGGTCGATTGTTTCATATAATCTAACACTTACACAAGTGCAATATAGTTCAGTTCAGTCCAGTACATTTGGGGCAAATGGGCCTACGCGTTCAAACCCACTATTCGTCTCATGGAAATCGAAAGAATTAGGAATTGTGTATAGAAATCACAGCATCAAGTTTATTTAGGTCTCGATTTGCATAGGTCACTGGTTGTAATGGTTAGACAGTCAAATACTCCGCTTGTCAATGCAAAATTAATCTGTCAAGCCGACGCCTAAATGTCCCCACAGATT